ACACATCCACATCCACATCCACATCCACATCCACATCCACATCCACATCCACATCCACATCCACATCCACATCCACATCCACATCCACATCCACATCCACATCCACATCCACATCCACAACCACATCCACATCCACATCCACATCCACATCCACATCCACATCCACATCCACATCCACATCCACATCCACATCCACATCCACATCCACATCCACATCCACATCCACATCCACATCCACATCCACATCCACATCCACATCCACATCCACATCCACACACACACATCCACACACACACATCCATACACACACACACACATCCACACACACACACATCCACACACACACACACATCCACACACACACACCCACACACACACACATCCACACACACACATCCACACACACACACACACACATCCACACACACACACACATCCACACACACACACACATCCACACACACACACATGCGCAGGCGCACGCGCGCGCACACGCGCACACTCGTCTGGGTTATGGTAAGGCAGTAAGGCCTATATGAATGTACGCGCCATATAACTTACATGTAGTCTATCTGTACACTGAAAAACGTTTGCTGTCAACAAAGCCCCACCTGTGGGGAATGGAGAGGAGCCAGAAGTTCAGCCCGGCGAGCCCTCCGCCCTCCGTGCCCATCTCCGCGCGCAATTCCGAGCAAGGCTTTGCGGAGGACGGTTTCAAAGACCTCAAGGCGGGGGCCGTTCTGAATTCAGGCGCGTCCCGTTTGGAGGGCGCCCCTTCTGGTTTTGGTTTCAATCGGAAGCCAGAGGATATTTTTCTATCATTTTTAAGGATGGGTAAGTTTTGGATCCTAAGAATACTGGCTTCTTGGGGTCCTTGTTAAACTGCAGGAGAACACAAAAAGGCCAACCCCTCGCGTCTGCGCATTTTGCGCCGAGCTCACCGGTCCGAGGGAAGCGCAGGCGATTTCGCACATGATGAAGGCCCTTTACTTAACGACCCTTAATCTCAGGTGTTAGAAAGCTCCACTTAGGAGTAGGCTCTTCCTTCTCAAACCCAGCGTTCCATGTCACTTTCCACGTGTGTACGGACGTCCAGCCAGGTTTTTAACTCTCATTTTGTCTCTGAGCGAACCTCGGGTGATGGGTTCCCCTCCCTCCCTTTCCCCCAACCCCCCTCCCCTCCCCTCTCCCAATCCCCCCCCCCACCAACCCCCCCCACCAACCCCCCCTCCCAACCCCCCCTCCCAACCCTCCCTCCCCCCTCCCAACGCCCTCCCAACCCCCCCCTCCAACCCCACCCCCCCCCCACGAGGAGATGGAGCGGGTGCCCTCCGACTCCGACCGTAGTGTGGTGTCGCGGCTGGAGCTGTCGAAGGCCTCGTGGCACTTGCAGCACAACCTCAAGGAGTCCGCGGGAGGGGGGAGGGGGAGGGCTAGGGCCGGGGAGCGGGAGGGGGGCTAGCTCCCTGGATTTGTTTTTTTCCTCGGTCTTCTTCTCTTTGCTTTTGGGTGGGCCCAGCAAACATTTGTGTCCCCTGGGCCAAGGCTTTTGGGTAAGTGTCCTTTTCAGGAAACACAGGTCGAATTGCGGGGCACAGGACCAAAATACCTCATGCTAGCCGCGATGTGTAGTCCTTAACCCCTCATAGCGATGCAAGGGACTGATGGACTCACTTCGGTTGGGGAACTGATGGGTTTCACCCGGCTTGTCACTTACAAAGCAAACCCAGGATTCGGAAGCCGCCTTCATCCATCTCGATGTCGCAAGGGGAATCTGAAGTATCGGGGCTGCAGCCTATTCAGTTTCCGATTTTCCATGTGAAAGTTATCTTTCTTTCTTTTTTTTGAGTAGTCTGTCGTCTCCCCCAAATCTTTGCGGGTCCAAAACAACACGTTCTTCTTCTCCTCTTTTGTTTTTCGCTTTGCGCCGGGCCCAAAAAACTCAGGCAGGGTCAGAAGAACACGTTTCCTTCCCCCCCCCCCGCCCCAGTTTTGCATGCTAAAACCCCAAAAGAACAAAGCCCTAATCAAGTAGGTTGCCAAACACCCTCCATAATTCCACCCAAAACAAATGGCCATCAATTGCAATGGGACGCCATCAAAAGCGGTTGGTGGACATAGCCCCCAGCTAAGCGCCCCCAATGAATGTTCGCACCCAAATTGCCCCTGCTGTTGTGTCGATCCCAGGTATATAGTGGTTTCCTCGCCTATTTTGACACCGAGAGACGGGTGTGTTTTTTGTGGGTACCATTTTCGGCCGTTTTCAAGGGACAGCAAGGAAAACCGAAGCCATTTTGTTGGGCCCCCGAATATGTGTTATTTTCCCCCGTTGGTTTTAAAGGGAATCTATCACTTTTGGACATGTCTGTTCTCATCATGCCCAGGTGAAAAAGCTTAAATGGAGGACACCCAGCAAAAACACGCCTTTAAGCCACGCCAGCCATTTTGTGTTTTGGTCCCGGAAAAGAAAGGGACCAACAACAACACGCCATTTTTTCGGGTCAATCTGACAAATTCCGACAGTTTCCGAGATAAATGGAGGACACCCAAAGAAAAGCAGACACAATCCCAACCGAAGGACCAGTTCCGCCCGGAAAAAAAACAAAAAGCAACAGAAACAAACAAAAACCACAACAACAAGCCGACAAAAAAAGAACGGTTTGGGGAAAAACACCCCCAAAAAACAAACCCGAAGTGAAAAAACACACCAAAAAAACAACGGCGGGAGAAAAGACGGTGCGAGAGAAAGTTTGAAAGGTCTCCGATGCCCAGCTGGTGCTCAACCGCCTGCGCCTGCGGTTGGGGGCCTGGAACTCCCCGCTGGTCACCGGGGCCTCGCTGCACGACGCCTGCGCCTTGCCGGGGCTGGCAGCGGAGGGCTGGGGGGTGTGGGCTATAGCATGCGAGTTCATGTGGAAAAAACAACAACCGGTACCTGGATCCCTTTTATTTTCCAGCTACTTTTGCCAAAGTATGGGCTACTAGTGGGCAAAGTGGCTGGGAAAGAGTAGCTACTTGGGGTTCCAGGTAGTTGTCGCACTCAACTTGTAAATGAAGGTTGATTTCAAGAAGTAGCCAGAAGCGGGGAAGGTGATTTGCGAGATTGACGGCTGGGTGCTGGAGGGCGTGCAGTTGGGGTGCTGGCGCAGATGCTGTTAGGGTGTGCTGATTGGGGTCTTGTTTGTGGTGCTTGTGACGGTGCGGCCACATTTTGTGCAAGATTGATGGCAGGGTGAGCGCGTGCAGTTTTGGCGTGCTTTTTGGTGTCTTGTTTGAGGTGCTGGTGACGGTGCGGGCGCATTTTTGCTGCGGGTGCAGTTTTGCAAGATTGACCGTAGGGTGGTATGGTGTGCAGTTTGGGGTGCTGGTGCAGGTGCTGTTTTGGGGTGCTATCTGGGGTCTATGCTGGTGTAATGTTGAGCAACTTGGGAGGATTGACGAACACACAGCGAATCCTACGTTGTCTTGTTGATGGTACCCTTTTTTGGGCCGAAAGAAATCCCCCCATGTTGAAATCGAACAAAGGCCCCGGCATGCTACTTTGGAACCCCTGAAAATGGTGACCAAAGGGAGCAACCACTGGACTTTTACCATTTTGAGGGTAATGGGTGCGTGATGTTTTGAGGAGCCCCCTTTTTTTGCAGGTAAAGGGAAACCAAGCGGGAGAAAAAACAAACAAACAGAAGCTATTTTGGGGTTGCAAAGACGACTTCTTTCGTACGGGGCTGCGTGAACCCGAGTCTTTTGTTAAAATGTGTGTTTGTACTAGCCAATGTGATTCCAGGGAAGCTTCGGGATTTTAAGCACGGACATACTCGTCAGAGGTGGTCCCCCCCTTTTCTTGGGTAGCGATCAATCTTGGGACCTTTGCCTTTGGTGCTTTTTGTGATCATTGAAAACGAAAAACCAAAGCCCGGACTCTTGGCTTCAAGGTGTTCCCTTTCGACCAGCTTTTCCAGGCGACCTTTTCCAGAACCCTGAAGTCTTTGAAGTTCGGGGTTCAAATTTATGGCTGAGGTCTAGTTTGACATCTCGTCTGCGCTGCAAATAGGTGAAAACATGGTGTTGCGATCTTCTGCAAATGAAAGGCTAGTTGGAAAGAGCTTCCGACTAGTGACTTTTGGTTGACAGACCCTCCCGATGAATCAGTCAGTCCTGATCCCCCCCCCCCAACAAGTCCTGCAGGCCACACACCTACACGCCTGGATGTCCAAGCGCTCGTTAACGTCAAACGCTAAGCCAACAACCAGTTGGGAGTTTCCCCAAATAGTTCACCCCGTTTCAGTGGGTGTTTGAAAGGAATTCAAGAGGCTACTTCACATTCTCGGGGACCGCGTCCTATTGCGATTCGCTGGTTGGAAGGTGGTAGCAAACCAGGCAAGAAGCCCACGCAAATTGTTTGGTGGCATACGCCGTGTTGCTTGGCCCCTCAACACAGACACACCCAACTGATCATTATTTTTTTGGGGAGGGGGGAAGGGGAGGTAGTTGTGTCGTTGTGCCGGTTGTTTTTCTTGGGGAGGTAGGCTGTCAGCACCTCGAGCCGAAGCCCGGGGATCACCTTGGAAGGTCAGAACAGCCCGAGGCAAACATGGGCCCGAGGCTATTGAGCATGGAACCCACCAGGCCTCATGCAACGAGCTCCATTGGGCGCAGAAAGGCAGACTAGGTCTTCCAGCTAGGTGCCCTTTTACCAACTTTTTTTGGGGGAGGGTTCCCCTGCTAAAATAGACTACAGAAAAAAGGGTACCCTTCTTTTAACCTCTCTACTGGAGGACTGAGTAGAGTGTCGGCTTTTGAGTCTCGAATTCAGGAGTTCCCGGCCTCCATGGCGAGAACTTTTCGCAAGCTCGTCTTTTTTTGGGGCACAGGGACTTTCGAGTGGAACAGGACGTGAGTGGAACAGGACGTGGGAACTGGGCATGGCGTCTTCGGATCTTCGTTGGGTCTCGCAGCATCTCGCAGGCAGCTCACTTGGACTCACCAAGTACACGGTGGAGGAGCCGGTCCGGGGGGAAACTGGAGCGGGGCAGGGAGAACCTCACCCCGAGAACCGCACGGACCTGACTCGCAAGTTGAAAGACTGGCCTCAAGCTCGCAGTGTTCACAGGAAGGATTTTGCATAGGGGTCATCAAGCCCTTGGTGTGTTTTGCCACGGGATGTTAGGACTTTCAGTTCTTGCCAACGAATGGGTTTTCCATTAAACCACTCAAAGTTAAAAACTTGTAGCAGGGGAGCAGAAAGCAACAGGAAAGCCTCGAGGAATTGCCAATGGTCGACCCCAAACAGGTTCCATTGGATTTTCAGGTAAGGCAAAAGACTATGACCGGAGTCATGGCGACAAAACCATAAAAGGCCAGGGTTGCTTTCGCGACCAACCCACACTTTTCTTTGAGAAACCTTCCCAAAGGGCAACGGTGAAAGCTGAACCTTTGAATCCGGACATCAAAAGCGAAGGTTCGCTCAAGACTTCCTTGTTTCTCTATGGTCCATGTGAGGTTTCCAGCAAAAGTCGTCCGTAGTCCACGTGCGAGGGCGAGGGACAGGGTGACTCACAGCTTCACAAGAGGACGAGCCCAAAAACCTCCATGTCCGTTTGGGGGAAGCAAGTAATTTGGACCGGGGCTTCGAAACTGATTTGAAAGGCTTGGCTAACTCCACCCGTGTTGCGCAATTGAGCAGCGTCCAAAGCCCGATTGGCCATTTTCAGTAGGTGGTTGTACTATCCTACTCTGAATCTGGTAACGCCTATGTACGCCCCATTTGCTTTTGCGGAATCGAATCTGTTGCAGGGCACACCTCACCCATTGGCTTCCTGGGCAGCTTGCAGCGCCCGAAATCCCCCCGAGGTTTGGGGCATGCAGAGAGTAAGCAGCTGAATGGAGGGCCGTGATCCCCCAAAACGGGTCGTTTGCCTTTGGCTTCATCGCAAAGGCCCCCGGTTCTTCCCAAAGACCTGCGCTGGCGGTGGTTACATGGGGGTCCCACCGCTTCGAAGGGCCCTCCAGCGTAAGCCGATGCAAGACGAAATGGCCGTTTTATACTCCAAAACTCAGAAAGTTAGCGTGCTTTTTCGGCGCGTGTGGCGAGGCCTTTGTGCGTGAGACGTCTTGGTCGATGGAAGAGCGCCTCAAACCTTGTCGCTCTTGGGTGCAACATCCCAAGTGGTTTGAATCCCCTCCAATTTGGGGGGTCTTTTGCCCAACAGTTGCAGTTTTAGGACTGTTGGGTTCGGGCGGCGAAGCTCCAAAAGAAACGCGCGAGGACATGAACATCATGCTGAATCAGCTGGCGGGGTTCATCGACCTCACCTTTGAGAATGATGCGCAGGAGAGGCAGAAGAGACAGAGCGCCTTTGGAGCAAGAGACGGGCAGAGGGTGAAGTTCGGAAGTGTTGAGGGGAAATTAAATGGAAACCACCTGGAACACCAAGTGGCTACTTTTTTCCAGCCACTTTGCCCACTAGTAGCCCAAAATTTGGCAAAAGTAGCTGGAAAATAAGGGCAATTGGGGATCTAGTCAACCATTTTCAGGGGTTCCTATTTTGAGAAACACTGAGCCAAAGTCAATAATGGCCGTCATCTGTGTTCTGGCGTTTGTTTAAACACGTCCGATTGCTGTTACGCTCCGGGTTGGGCCGAAAGCTGTGCCGATATTTGTTCTAGGCCGATTCTAGGCTCCTGAACAGAAACAGCAGCTCATGAAGGGGCTTTTCAAAAGATTGAAAGGGCTGGCCAATCCAGTTTTGCACGACCATGGGCTCAAAACTGAACATTTGCAAAATATGTAGTCAGGCTGGACACTTCTGCCCCCCCCCCCCCCTCGGGAACTTGCAACACATCCTCTTTGGGCCGAACCCAGGTTGGGCCAAGTTCTAGCTGGAAGAAATGGGACTTCGTCGATTTTAGGGCCAGAAGGCAAAAAGGAAAAACACGGCAAGTGTAGCGAGGAGGATGGGTAAGTACAAATTCCACTGTCCTTGGGGGGGGGGACGCATCCATGGTTTAGAGTTTTAGAGTTTAGAAGTGTTCACAACACATCTCTGAGGGGCTTGTGCAAAAAAGAGGCCTCGGGGCCTTTAAGCAAACGGGCCATGTTTTGTCCCGCGCGACCAGTGCTCTTTTCGGTTTCAGCCATAAGTGTGGTGGGATATCTCAAGGGGTTTCTCCAGCTGTGCCACAAGTTCCCCTCTTTCTATGGGGGGTTCGTCTTTGGGGGTGGCCCTTGTATCACCGCTTCGTGGATTCCATTTCCACCGCCCCGGCCCCCGAGAAATCGTGGCCTTTTCGCTTGTCGCTGGCGCAGGGCTCCTTAAAAGCAACATCTTGCTTTTTCAACACCACACCAAAAAGAGTTGGAAGCCCCCCACCAATTTACAAGTTGAGCAATGTTTCGGTGCAATAAACAAATGCCCACCTCCGCACCTCCGGACCCCCGCGCTCTCTCTCAGTTTCTCTCGCGCTTGCGCTTGCGCCTCGTCGCTTCGCTGAGGCGGGAAGCAGACCATGTTCGGCTTCGCCCACATCGAAGGGCCAGAGGCGCGGATCGAAGGAGCGGATGTGGAGCCGGCCGCAGGGCGAGCGCTTCCTTCTCCGGAAAGGGGGGAAAGCAAAAAAAACAAAACCCGGCGCCGAAGAAAGAAAAAGCCGGGCCAGCGCCCCGAGCTTTTTTTTTGTTTTTTTGTGGCCTTTTCTAACAGGGGGATCCAAGGGCTCGGCGCAAGCTTTTTTGTTGCAGGGGATCAAAAGGGCTTTGCTCCCAAAGTCTCTGTCGACTCCCTGAAAGCTGTTTTTGGTCTCGGATCAAGACCAAGGCATCACAAGCCAAAACCCAGCCCTGATTCGTGTGAGCTGGGGCATAGGGAGCGAGCCCTATGACTGCAAAGTCCTTTGTTTGGGGGATACCGGATTTCAGGGAATTTCGAACGATTCCAATTATAGCGGATGGCTTAATCAGGCCTGCATGGTTCCCATTTGCCCATGACCTGGGAAACTGGTTTTAGTTTCCTTTCCACGAAGGCCAAAGTACTCTTCGTGTCACCTTTCGTGATTCCCAAGCACATTTCCCTCGAAGTGATAAAGTAGTCATGGGGATGGTCCGGGCGGGATGCACTTTGGTATCACAGCAAGGGTCACTTGCCACGAGCCTGGCGGGTTGGTTGCAGTTGGTTTTTCCCTTTAAAGGGTACGGGGGGCCTTCCCCGGAATCTTGTTTCACATGGCGCAACTCAGGGAGTTTCGAGTTTGAACACTCCCTGAGTTCCCTGAGTTCCTGCGATGTGGCTGTGGGTCAAACATAGGTACCCAAAACTTAACCCTGTAAGTAGTAACACGGACTCAAACCTGCGGACCCAAACGTGGTGTAATTGTTTGATCCATATCCATGTGTGTGTCCGTGGCCGAAGCGAATCTCGCCGGGAGCGGAGACACGTGAGTGGAAGTTTGGCTTCGCCGACTTGCTGAAGCCTGGGCCGTGCTTGACGCCCGGAGTCCAGGGAGGGAGTTCCGGCGTCTAGCGATGCGCATCGCGCACTCTGACGACATGGCAATGGGAGACATTGCCCGTGACTGAAGCTCCATAACCCCAGTAGTGCCCTGTTACCCTTTTTTGGGAGCGTTCCCCTACTAAAAGGCCCTGCGCAGGGCCGCATGGTCCGTGGCCGTTTGTGAGGCCTTCCGGTCACCTTCGCCCGGATCCTTCGCGGCAAAGGGCCATCTTTGACGGCCTGAGACGGGATGAAACAGGCTGAGGACTGCGATACGCGCGCCCGAGATGAAGGACGGCGCCGGGCCTTGGCGTGGAAAAGAACTAGGAAAGGATGGAACGTCAGGAAGGAGCTGCAAAGCCCGTGACGTTTGGTGTGGAAAAGAACCACGCATTTGTCGGAAGGGTCAAATTGCAAGGGCAAGAGCTCAGCCCTGTCAAGGAGCCGCAAAGCCCGTGACGCTCATGAGACTATGAAGCCTACGCCATCCAAAGAGCGCACTTAGCTTTGGCCTATACTCTAGCTCCGTTTCACTAGCGGTAGTGAACCAACGTCTGTTTTTCTCTCAAGGCTTTGAGGTGTTTAAACTTGCTGGCGGCTCAGTGGGAAATGAGGTTTTGGGAATACACCGAAAGGGGTTTCCCTTAAAGGAAACCGTACTATAGGTGGACGAAATGCTGCACCACTTTGAAACAATGGTTGAAACCATTGCTTGTTGGAATTTACAAGGGAACCAGTTCTCATGCCCTTGAGTTTCTGAACGGTGCTGCGACTTCGTAGGGATTTCGCCCCATCCACAGAGTGGAGTGGTTCTTCTCGGGGTCCGACTCCATGTCTCATTTCCGCCGATAGGTCATGGGCAAGCCGCAGTGGCGCTGGCCAGAGGAGTCTTACGTCCACCCAACGAGCAGGGCCTCCACTTTGAGGAAGTCCGCGCCTGCGCCCAAAATGTTTTTCCCAGGGGGGCGCGGCAAAAAAAAAGCGAGGCCGGTTTTCCCCGGATTTTTCAGCGGCGCACCTGTTTTGTATCGAATGGTTGTGAGAGGGGAGCGAAGCAAACACGCTCGGTGAAGGGGTTGTGATTGTTGGAGGCTGGCCTTTGATGCATGGTGCAAACTGATCAGTGGCTTCTGTTTGCCGTGTTGCCTTTGGTGGGGCCTGGTTACCCTACTGGTTCGCCAGGGAGAGGTTCAAATCCTGCTAGCCCTAGCCTTCGGCCCCACGAGTCCCAAAATCAAGCGACAAAGAAGACGTTACGTGACGTTGCGTTAGTACTCTGCCACAAAGCGCCGCAGCACGAAGCGTGGTGTTTGAATTGCCCCCCCCCCACCCCACCCCCCGGTTGTACATTGAATTGGGGGAGGGGAAGGTGGACCTTTCCCGAAAAGGTAAAGCCATGCTAAGGGGCTGAACGCCAAACCACTTTGATTCTTTGTGGGAGGATGCAAGCAGTCCCCACCTGGAGTACGTATATTATGACATCATTCTGCATAATTCTCTTTTATGGCGAGCTCACCTGGGGGTAAAGCGAGCTCACCAAGCTGCTTTTCTTGGGGAGCACTTATGTCAGGTTTTGCAAATATTGTAAACGCATGCAGAACACATTGTGCAGTATTCACATGATGGTTTCTTTGGTTGTAGTCCCACCAAGCATTAAGGACTAGAATTCCCCGTTGCAAATAATCATGGAAATTGAGGGGCCCAACACGAGATTCCGTTGTTGTGTGTTAGATTTCATGTTGCCCGGGAGCATTTGGCATCTGAATATGCCCTAGATATGGATCCGAATCCAACCCTCTTTTGGGGGGAACAACCAGACAAAAAACACTGCATTTCCGTGAAAGTAGATGGCACAAGTCATTTGGTTTACTCACTCCTTGTGTGTGCGTGCGCGTGCGTGCGTGTGTGCGTGTGCGTGTGCGTGTGCGTGTGCGTGTGCGTGTGCGTGTGCGTGTGCTTGTGCGTGTGGGCGTGTGTGTGTGTGTGTGTGTGTGTGTGTGTGTGTGTGTGTGTGTGTGTGTGTGTGTGTGTGTGTGTGAGTGAGTGAGTGAGTGAGTGAGTGAGTGTGTGTGTGTGTTTCTGTCTGTGTGTGTGTGTGTGTGTGTTTCTCTGTGTGTGTGTGTGTTTCTCTGTGTGTGATTCTCTCTGTGTGTGTGTCTGTGTGTTTGCGTTTGTCTGTGTCTGTGTCTGTGTCTGTGTCTGCGTCTGCGTCTGTGTCTCTGTTTCTGTTTCTGTATCTGTCTGTGTATCTGTCTGTGTCTGTGTCTGTGTCTGTGTCAGTGTTTGTGTTTTTTAGGAAGACGGACATGGACCAACTTTAGTGTCAGGCAACACGCTCGGAGTGCTTTTCATCCGGTCGGGAAGTGGAGCTTGCCCGTTTCCTTACGCAATGGAATCCACGACGTTTCCCATGGCAAGACTCAATGGGACTCATAGCGTTCCCCCGTTTTTTCCCCTTTTGCTCTGCTCAAACATGTTTTTTTGGTGGCCACACAATTAGTGTTTTTTTTGGGGTGAGATTCCAAGGGAACTAGAGGGAACCCTGGATTGCCCAGTTGGAACCTCTCAATGGGGTCGGAATCCACCAAGATGGCCCAGAAAAGTGGTCGGCCCAAAGCTCATGGTGGGAACATCTGCAAGTTGGCGCACGTCTTCTTCTTCCTTTGTGTTTTTCCGGGACGAGGTGCCTCAGTGTGCCAGAAATCCCTATGGGCCTTGAAACCTCAACTCCTTGCTTGATTCCGAGCCCAAAAAGGATGTTCAACCCCTTGCTTGATTCCGAGCCGAAAAAAAGGGTTCCAGACAAAATGGTGTGTGTTTGCGCCTTGTTTTTTTTGGGTGGCTTCTGAATGCAGCGTTTTTATGGTGAAACAGCAATCTCGTTGGACGGACCGAATGGGCCGAAGCAAGGGCTCGATGATGCCGCCGGAGCTGTTGGAGGAGCAGATGTCGCAGAAGAAGTGCTGCCCGGACCTTCTCGATGTCCCGTTGAGTGGGGTTTTGTCTAGCAAGGGTGGTTTGAAGGGAAAGCACGAGAACCAAAATCCGCTTCTGGGAGGCTTGTCAAAATGTGTTTTGGAGGGTTTTGAAGAGACACCAACCAACCCTTTTGCTGCCGCCCAGGCTTTGCTCTGACAAACCGGTGGGCGGAAGAGTGCGTGAACAGGGAAAAGAGGACTCTCCCTTTTTGGTGGGGGTTGCAAAGGGACAATCAACATTTTTTTTTCAGTCCGTCTGAAGAGGGGGGTCAGTGCCATCCCATGTTCAACCAACATCCGCCACAATCGGATTTTTGGGGCAAAGGAGGGCCATTTCGGGGTCCAGCCAAGTGGCTTCATTTGTTTGGAGCTCCCAAAGATACAATCAGCGTTTCCCTTCAAACGCTGATTGCTTGGATTGTTGAGATGTCACTGGCCCAAGCTCTTATTTTTTTGTCATGGGAAGCTCAATTTGGCTTTTGGTTTCTTGAGCATCCTTTTGGGGGCTGCTTTGGAGGGAAACCCACCTATCAACCAGGCCTCCGCCTGCTTCCGCCAACCCTCAGCAGTCAGTCTGCAGACGTCGTCAGAGGGGCGTTGCTTGTGTTTTCTTCCCGGTGGCAACTGCCGCATGTGACCTGAAGTCTTTTTCCCTAGCCCAAGTTCTGGTTGCAAGTTGCAGCCAACACGCACGAACCTGGGAGCTCCTCTGTTGGACCTGGGCATGCACCAAGCTGAGATCTGCATCGGGTTTGCTCAAAGGATGCCCTGGGCACCTTGAATTAGGTGAGTTTGGGGGGCGCAAACCTTCGCGGTTTCCCTTCTGGTTTCCCTCGAACCCAAGATCAAAAAGGGCCTCATTCTTGGATCTCAACCCTTGGGAATCAAGAAAACCGGGGGTCTGTGTCAAAATCGGGGGGATGCTCAATCACTATTTTTCGCTTTTCCTCTTGGACGCCCAAATTCCCTCAAGGCGCCAGGGGAGTTCTCTGATGCCTTGGCACCCAAATTCCCTCAGGGTGCGGGACTTCTCCGAGCCCCTTGGAGCCCCCTGGAGCGAGCCCAGGCTACAACTGCGTGCCGACCCGCGCGCTCATGGAGGTCTTTTTGGCCCAGGAGGAGGCCATCCACAGGCCGGGAATTGACAAAAAACCTTCCGCTCGGGTTTTTTGTGTGTGCTTTTTTATTTCACATATTGTGCGCTGTTTTTTTTTGGGAGGGGGTTAGGGTGGGGTTGATCCTACAAGACTGGCCAGAAGCTTTCTTCCCATGAGGCTGATGCTTTCACCGGCTGAAGGTGAGACTGATCTGAGTTTCTGATCAAACCCATGGATGTGTCCGAGTTTTTCCTGGGATTGAGCTTTTCTCATCAACCCCATGGATGCGTCCTTTTGTTAAAGACACATGAACCCCTTTTTGGTGTTGGAAAGGGATGGGGAAAAAATCGAAGGCTCCCGCATGACGTGGATGACGCAAGTAAGAAAGAGGAGTGCTTCAGCGGGTTGGGTGGATCTGATCATGGCGCCTCTTCTTGGAGTTCCGTTTACTTGGTCGGGGTTTTAGGCTTTAGGTTGTTTGGTCCTGTTCAGGTTTTGGTGGGGCGCCTTGGATTGGGAACATAAACTTCTGTCCCAGCGGCATGTCCAGTCGCTTAAATTTACGGTCCAACCCTTGGTATAGCGGGGGACAAACATAAACACTGGTTTGTTTGCAGACCCCTAAACTTAAACCAAACCAAACAAACTAAACGACCTAAAACGGAACCAACAACAGAACAGAACAAAACCAACAAGGAGACACCAGCTTCTTGCGGGCACGCAAGGCAGCAACCGAGGCGAGCAGGCACTCCCGAGCGAGCAAGCAATCCCACCTCCCTCTCTAGGAATCCTTCAAACTTTGTGAGCCCAAGCGGACCTAGGTCCCCCAGCTAGGTGGCTTTTCTCACACCTTTTTTGGGGGAGGGTTCTACTAAAATAGACGGGTACCCGTATTCTAACCTCTCTACTGGAGGACCTAGGGATCTACCAGCTCGAACCCGGCAAATCACCGGCGAGACTTGGAGTTAAAGTTGGCAAGCTCGTAAAGGTGCCCATGTCCCAACCAGCTCACGCATGGGGGATACTCGTTTCAAGGTGAATTACAGTCTGTCCAGGGTGAAGTCAGAAATCCCACAAATTGTGGAAGTTGGTGATCTGCTTCTCTGACCGCTATTGGGTTGGATCTTTAGAGATGAACTGTTTGGGAGGTCAACCGGTTTTCCACTAAACCCACAAAAAGTCAAGCTTTTTGCAGAGGGGTCAACAGCAAGGGGGAATTCCTGATGCACAAGCTGGAGATGAAGCGTCCAATCGCATCGCAGGAGGATCTTCGGGGCCCGGTTGCAGCCGCAGTTTCAGGCCGGGAGGGCCTGGGGAGCAAGCAATCCTTTCAAGCTACGTGCCTCGGCCTCACTTTTTCTTCGAATAGACGGCCCTTTCTGGCCCAAAGAATGGGGGCCCCAAGAGAGAACTCGGGCATGGCAATTTGGGGGTTAGATCGGCCTTTCCCAAGTTTTTTAGTACTGGCGTAGTATTGGCTTAATATTGCTTAGTATTGGTTAAGTATTACTGGCCTAGCATTGGTTAGTATCGGTTTAGTATTGGTTTAGTAATGTAGTATTGGCTTAGTGTTGCTTCCGTTGTCTTCGGTTCTTTTCCGTCCTCTGTGTAGTACAGGCTTTGAATTGTTTGAGTATTACTTTGAACTGGCCCAGTTCTGTTTGGAGTTGGTTTAGTATTTAGCAATGGTTTTGTAGTTGTTATCGGCCTGGAAAGAGTTTGCACGATTGGATACCCCTTTTTCAGTTCTATTGTTGAGTATTTGGAGCGGCCATGTACTACCGCCCCCTGGGAAATTTGTCGGCTGAGCACTTAGGGTGTGAAAGGAAATCGGCAGTTTGGGGTATGTTTTGCAGAAATTGTCCGGCTTTCTTAGTACTCAGAAGAAAGACGAGGGAGAGCGGGGAATACTTTCCGGCGCGGCCGGGATGGTTACACTATTGGGTGTTGTTTCCGGACCAAACAGCTCCGGACAAAAATACGTGTTGTTTTCTTTCGGATGAAGTCTCAGTTCTTTTGAACATACGTACCCCTTGTCATTTTTGGGGGTAGAGAATAATTTTGGAAACACTTTATTGTATTTGGTACCCTTTGGCCAATCGGGCACCGACATTTCTTGGGATCCGATTTCATTTCAGGTATTGTTTTTGTGAACATTTGCACAATAACGGGGGGGGGGGGGTTCGGTGAGATTGGACCATTTTTTGAGGTCGCCCTTTTGCTTGGACGGTTTATTCTCTCCGGACAAAAACGTTTTGAATGGCTCAGCCACATATCCCTGGAGGTACTGGGCCCATGAGTAAAATGCCTGATGAGTAGATAGGGGACCCCAGTGGACATGAACACCTTCACTTGGGCGTCCCGAAGTCAGCATGTTAATTCCTGACCCTTAAATTTTGCCCTGTGCATGCGGATTGTTGTCCTGGAAGCCTCAGGGTACGTCCCACGGGTTGATTTTGGCGCGACGCAGAGCCAGACCCTTGAAGAAGCTCGGAACAGCGAAAGCGGGGCTCAACGCATTCCCGAGTCTGAAATGGGAAGCCTGAGGAGCGTTTTTTTTTTTTTTCTTTTAAGCCCCGAGCCCGCTTTTTTGGGTGCAAAAATCCAGGAGCCAAAAAGGAGCGCTGGAGGTCACGAAACAGATGCTTGTTGGAGAACCGGTCCCTCAGGAATGCTGTTGAAGAAATCCCCTTGCCTTTCAAACTGCGGTCCCCGACTTTTTTTTAAATCGAGGATTTCAAAGGGAACCCAGAACCAGAAAGGCAACACCTGCCACAAGGACCTGACACATCGGCTTCCGGCGTCTTTAGGTGGTCCCTGCTGAGTAGTTGGGGTTTTCGGGGCCAGTGTCTGTGATGGAGTCCCCTGCAAGGTTGAAAACTTGGTGGCTCCCAGCCATCGCCTTAGCTTTTTAGCTTTTCAGGATTTAGTGGGGATTTACATTTAACCCATGAAAAGTTGTTCACTTTTAGCAGGGGATCTGCGAGCAGCCCAGTAAAGGAGTGTTCCTCGTCTTCCTGCACATCTCCCCAAAACACCTTCACAAAACACCTCCCACAGCATTTGTCTTTCGGTGTCCTGGTGTCATCGGTGTCTTTCGGAGGCGATGAAAGAGATCCTGCTGGCCGGCGCGGCTTGGCATCAGAAAGGGGGGGGGGTGACCAGGTTTGACCGGGGTCCCAGTTCAGGTGAGGTTCCGTGGGCGGGGGTGACGCCTCTAAGGGGGAAAAGAGGGAACCCATTTTTCCAGTTGCTGCGGGGAAGTCCACCAATTGACATGGAACCTGACAGGGGCACGCTTCAAAAGGAGAAATCGTCTTCCAGGATCCCCGAACGTCAGGTTCCATGTGAAAAAGGGTGGGAGGGTACCCAGATACCCTTGCGAAAAATCGCCAAGTGATGTTCGGCAGATTTTTGGGAGGGGGTTGGAGGAGTGGCGAGGCAGGCCGTGTCATTCTTTTGTTGAAGGTTGCTGTTGTTGGGCACCCGCCCATGAAAAAGTCAGCTAAACCATCCATTGTACCAGTTTCAGGGGAGTCTTCTTGTTTTAACCCATACGGGTACCTGTTTGAGGGTACCTGTTTCGGGGTGTTTGAAAGGTACGGAAGCCACTTGTTCTGGCGGTTCCGTCAACAAAGAAACACATATATTCGCCCAGTCCAACCAAACGGCCCAAGGTTCGATTTGGCCCGGCAGCCTGCCCCCCGTAAACCGCTTGCTTGCTCTCCATGCAGAATGCACCTGGCGGGAATTCGGAAGATCGATTTCCTGGACCTTTGGTCGGGTGCCGAACCCCATGGTCTTGGGAGGATCGATCCATGTTCATGGTACACTGGTCCCGATCATGGCGACAAATGGCTGCGGGTACCATTTTGGGGTAGGTGCACCGCCCCATTTTAGAACCCTTTTTAGTGAGGATTGGGATGTTCACTGGGGGTACGGGCTTTTGACCCATTGCTAACTGGGGCTTGCATGTTAAATTTGACGCACATTTCGCCTGACTTTTTCGACGGCTGCAAGCCTTCGGGGCTTTGACCAGGTTCTGGAGTGGATCGCATTGGGTGTGGGCATTAGCAGCCTAGATAGCCAAGTTGCTGCTTTTTGCAGTCACTGCTGCTGGTGTTTGGGGTAAAGTGGATGGAACAAAGCAGCAACTGGCGATCCAGGAGGTTTATCAACCATTTCAAATGCGGCTCAAACCATGGAATCCCAAGATGTTCTCAGTTCGCGGCAGCTATTCGTGAACCCAGGCCTTGGTTCTTTTCGGTTCTTTTCGTTCGTTTTCTCATCGGATCCCCCGACCTTTGCTGCCGTTTGCTGAGAAGAATATCATGTTTTTTTTTGTTTCCCCCTTGTTGGCTTTCAAGGGGATTCTTATCTCTACTGAACATACTGTGGACGAAATCCTGCACCAGATTGAAACCCTGAGCGGCCATTGTTTGGTGGCATCTACAAACAAGTCAAATCAGTCCCTTGGGTTTCTGAACGATGGTGCGAGTTCTGGACCGTCCACAGAATGTCCAGTGATAAACATCCCTTTAACACCAACAACCCACAGGCTCCTGGGGCTTTACCCTCCTCCATTGGACACCGCGGAAGTGTTTGGGGGTCTCAAAACCTGGCTATTTGAGGGCCCTAAATCAATCGGGGGCCTCTGGGGCCGGAACATTCGCATGTTTTCCGTAGGGGGCGATGAACAAAAAGGAAAACACGCACGCACGGGGAAGGCTGGGGGCTGGAACATACTCATCTTTTCTGTAGGCGAATTTCAAGCAAAAGGGGCAGTTTGGTTGACGACCCGCGGGTCAGCCGCGATCGAGGACACGAACCGCCTGGTGGCGGAGCTGACCTTTGTGCGGATCAACGACCTGGCGGCGCCCCCGGAGCCTATGAGCTTCAGCCTGCCCCACGGCGGCATCGTGTCGCTCTCGGTCCCCCAGCTAGGTGCAGCTAGAGAGGGGCAAGGGGCGTCCTTGGAAAGGGAACCTCCCCCAAAATCATGGTTTCTCCTTTGGGTTTCCCTTCAAGGCCCCCCGGTAGTGCCCTTTCTCACCAACTTTTTGGGTTGGGAGGGTTCCACTAGCCCTTGTTCTATCCTCTCTACTGGAGGACCTAGTGTCGGATTGGTCGATGTCAATTTTTTCGGGGTGATGCCTCACAATGGGTCGGCACGTTGGCACGTTGGCACGTTGGCACCGGGCCTCAAAACATGTCTTTGCTTATTGGCTTGTTTTTGCTTCCGACTGACCACAATATGGGGAGCAGACGCCAAAATGAAGCCAAGTCGGCAAAGGGAACCCGTATTTTGAGAGGCGCAATGGTCATTCCGCGCATCCTGTCTCAGGAAGGCCGCAGGCTCAAATCCTAGCCCTAGTTATCCACCAGCAATTGCGAATATTGACCGTGGCTATGAGGAAACTGGAGAGAAATCATAGGCCCACCGCTTGTCCTTCGGGGTTCTTTTTTGCCAAAGTTAGGTGAGCAAAGGACAACCCGGGTCGGGCGATACTTTTCTTTTCAGAGGCGGATCTGTGTGGCTTGATCTCCGGCTTTTCCTCTCAGACATCCCAACATGGGCCCAGTATTTACTCCTTGGGTCAACCTATTGGGTTGGTCACCCTCGGAGGTTGGTATGACACCCAGTCCTTCCGAGGAAGTCAAAAAGAGGCGGTTTGATGAAACATGCTGGCCCAACACTGTCCCCATGAAACCATACCTAATACCTTGATCTTCCCTGAACAAGCAGGCCATTTGTTGATTCTTGATTTACCAAGAGGAGAATCAAGAAGCTCCCAAAGAGCAAGGATTCATTGGGGCTGGGGGCTGGGGGAGAGGGGGTGGGAGCCCACATAAGCGCGAAAAATCAGGCTGAATCCCTCCCTCCCCTCAGCCCCCAGGATGGAACCCCCCGCCACCCCCCCGCCCCCGGCCCCCGGACCTCCCCCTCGAAGCTTCTCCGAATCGAAACCCCGGCGAGGCTGATTGAGCCTCTGGTGGCCGTTCTGATTGTTGCCAACGGCGCGCCTCGGACGGCTTGGCGAAGCCAAGTGTTTTGGCCCCGGGCTTTACTTGGCACTCAGCCTTTTGAAGCATTTAGCTTTGGTGCATTTTGCCACGGGATGTTAGGACTTTGACTTTCTGCCAACTAATGGTTTTCCACTAAACCACCAAAAGTTGAACTCTTAGCAGGGGAGCAGAAAGCAACCGAGATTTGTCTTGTGGCCCCTTTGGGCTTTCCATCATTTTCTTCTTTCAGCCGGCGGAAGCGCCAGCCTTTTTGGGTGGGAGGCAAACAACGATTCCAGGTTCGTCATTGAGAGGGGCAGTTTTCTTACTGCAGACTTTGGGTGGGACATAGACTGGCCCCCCCCTCCAAAAACCAAAATCGCGGACCTGTTCACAGGGTCGTGCCATGCCCCAAACGCTTGGAAGATTTCGTCGGATTTCGTCGGGAAGAAGCCTTGGCACCACTCTCCAAACAGTAGCTTTTCTCTTTCAGGGATTCGGCAAAGGAAGGTTAGTCAGTTCGCAAAGCGCAAGGCTTAAAATATATTGGTTTGGCTGCCTTCAGTTCCCTGTACCAAGGATCGAATTTCTAGCCTGCCATTTGCCTTAAGAAACACATATTTGCCCTTGTTAAATTTAAGGGCTGCCGCCCAGTGCCGCCGACCCGCGTTATGTTTTGACACTTTTCTGTTCGGCTGCATGGCTATGCATGTTCTAAACACAGAAAAGCGACCCAAAAGAAACCTACTTAGGTCTTACTTATAACCTCGGTCTAAGTTGGTCGTAAGTAACTTATAACCGACTTAACATAAGTTGATGTTAAGTAACTTATAAGTAGGGTAAGTTGGTCCTAAGTGGAACAAACCAATATAGTAAGGATCCTCATCATAGCCGTCGCTCATCATCGTCATCATCACGGTCATCATCACCGATGATAACCATCGTCGTGCATCCTCTGCATCACCAACAGTCATCATGATAATGATGACTACGCACCCTCTGCATCTCCAATCGGGTCTAACGGGACTTTTGAAACGTATATGAAAAACATAAAGATAAGGATCCTCATCATAGCCGTCGCTCATCATCGTCATCATCACGGTCATCATCATCGATGATAACCATCGTCGTGCATCCTCTGCATCACCAACAGTCATGATGATAATGATGACTACGCACCCTCTGCATCTCCCATCGGGTCTAACGGGACTTAATGATGACTACGCGTGCATCCTCTGCATCACCAACAGTCATGATGATAATGATGACTACGCACCCTCTGCATCTCCAATCTCATCATCACCGTTATCATCACCGCTGATAACCATCGTCGTGCATCCTCTGCATCACAAACAGTCATCATGATAATGATGACTACGCACCCTCTGCATCTCCAATCGGGTCTAACGGGACTTTTGAATCGTATATGAAAAACATAAAGATAAGGATCCTCATCATAGCCGTCGCTCATCATCGTCATCATCACGGTCATCATCATCGATGATAACTTAGCTAGGTCCAGCAGACATGTAATGAGTGGTTTCTAGTCATACAGCTACGTGTGGTACGGGGCTAGTATGTCAAGAAAACGACGGGTGGACGACGGGCGGACGACGGGTGGGCGACGGGTGGACGACGGGTGGACGACAGGTGGACGACGGGAGGACGACAAGAGGACGACGGGTGGACGACAGGTGGACGGCGGGAGGACGACAAGAGGACGACGGGTGGACGACAGGTGGACGACGGGAGGACGACAAGAGGACGACGGGTGGACGACAAGAGGACGACGGGAGGATGACGAAAAGAAGACCAGGAAGACGACGAGAGGATGACGGGACAACGAACGGACAACACATTTGCTGGGATGTCAATTGCGCACAATACGGACTGGCTAAATCACCACGACTCTAGGCTGCGACTATCTGCAAACGTCGAACTGCTACAAGGACCTGACGCGTCAAATGACATAAGTGAGAAGTGACATGAGCTGTGTGTGACTGGGTAGTGCTAAGTCAGAGCCGTCGTCGTAGTCAAACGGAGTCAATCGTCACACGCTGTCCTGCGGCTTGTTGCGTGCGTCACGCACTCATGCATGAGTCATGAGTCTTATGAGTCTTATGAGTCTCTGCGAGTATGTCAACCCGCCGCCCTTTGTTTCGAACCACAGCTCTCCGCACGGATACGTCATCGCATGTTGATTGCTGAGAAAGCAACATCATACAGCGAGGATTCTGCGCTGAACAGAAGGTTTAAAGGGGTGTTGTCAACGGCTTCGCCTTCTTAGCTGTTGTTTCTCCAACTGGCCTGCGTTATTTGAGTTGCAAAAAGGACCACAACAAGCACAAACTTCTCTATTTGCATCACTATAGGGCGGGCCAAGGCCCACACCGCAAGCAAAGGCACACACCGCGAACTTCAAAGGCACACCTGTCCATGCCCGCAGGGTTTGCCTTCTTCGACTGAGTGTTGAGTATTGTAATCATGTTGCAAGGTTAGCTAGGGCCAGGCCATTGCAGGAATCACGACCAGGAGTGTCACTGGCAAGGACCGGCGAGCAAAAGCACACAGCGTCACAGCACGGATTCACCATGTCCGCAGGGCTGCAAGAGTGTTGTCAACGGCCTATACTATCAATGTCTTCTGAATCTACATGCTGACAGTTCAGCAAACAATAAATACGAAACACAGCGGTTCTTTCTGAATCGACATGCGTCTTGCTATTGAAATGTCTTGCAAGCTTGGGCCATGCCGAGCACATGTGAAAAGTCAACTTCTGCTATATGCGAATTGTCGGGGAAGGACACAGAGACCATCGCGCCATCACCGGCAAGCAACAGCAGACAGCGCGGGTTCTACGCGCGACCGGTAATGTCTGCGCCCTCCTCTACCTGCGAAACGCCGGAGCACCTTGGCGCGCAACACGCTGACAGCACCAACAAACAGCATAAAACGTGTCTTCGCTTCAATCAACAAGGTGCTAGTGTTTCTTCACAAGCAGATTTTAGGAGTCCTGGGCCAATAGTCATAGATGAGTCATAGACATAGCGTGATACACGGACAACGTCATGTCTGAAACACACTAGTCGCGCGTCGTATGAATTGTACCATGCTTTCGTGGGATCATATCTTGCAGTTGTGTTTTGAATGCGTCAAACCGTTGGTTAACCACAGGAACCAGCGGACCACGCCGGGCCACACCATCTGAGGGGTAGCGACCTTCGTATGACTCTCGTGTGAACCATCATACTGTGATTCATAATCATAACTTACATATCATATGATACAAAAATCATGATATTGCACAAGGGTTGCATCAATGGTAGTTACATGTTTGAGTCTATACGCCTTTAGAAGCAATACTACGACCGAATCGTGTCATATCGAGTGATACCAAACTCATACTATATGTTCGTATCAGGTAGCACCCTGTTATCCTGGATTTCCTGAAGCCCTGAACGCATACTCAGAAATATAATTTGATCAAAGCTAAACCTGTTTGTGTGCAAATACGACACCTAACCACACCTGTCCGCACCTAGTCATTATGAACACATTGGCTGACATGTGAATAATGAATCATGAATCGCACGGAGCACGAAGTTACGAACTACGAGTCGGGGGTCAAAGGCCAACCCCGCCAACCCTGTACTGTGGACAGTGGGCCTATGGAAAACAAGCAGCATTGACCAGCTGTGGTTTGAAAGCTTGAAACCAAAGGCATGAATCACCAATCATCAGTGGAAACTTTAGTCTGAGTCTTGAGTCTTGAGCTTCAGATCCTTGATTTTTGAAAGGGTTGTTTGGTTGGTGGACACAAACTCGCCCCCAACCAATTCACGCGTCACCTCGCACTCACACTGCACACACACAAACCGAGATTGAACCCAACGTTGCCAAATAAATGTCAGGCCAACGCCAAAGCCAACGAACGCCGAGCCAATCCCAATCCAGCAAAGAAACTTTTAAACGAGTGGTTCCGGGGAGATGGATTCAAGTCTGCCACGCGTTGCCAGTTAAGTCAGTCAACTGCGCCTCTGTGAACGTGTCGAAAAACGACGCCGTGAAACTGCTGCCAGACAAGCTGGAGCCGAAGAAGTTCCCTCCCTGAAGCAATGCCCGTGGGCCACACAGGAGCATCGCAACTGCGTGCGAGTCAAGTCGGCTCACAAAACTGACGCTCTCTCTATTAGTGCTTTGTAAGCGCAAGAGCAGCTTCAAAACAAATGTTGAAATGTGAGATGTATGTCACGCGCGCGTCACTGCGTCGCACAATGCTACCGCGCAGCGGAAAACCAAGCGGAGGCTCTGCAAGCTGCGCATGACTGACAAATGACAGCGCCTCCACTAATGTAAACGCGGCTGTGACGCACATTAGCCAGCGCGAGCGCCTTGAATGGGCATGCATCATCTATGCGCCTAGGCGAAGGGCCAGCTCCGCGCCACAGTCACATTGACATCTGTCTAGCAGGGATGCCCGGGCTGGAAGTGCTTGGCGCCACGGCGACGCCTTTCTGGCTTGGGGCAGATCGGCCACAGAATCGCGCCCCGGCTGAGAGAATCCATGATGATGATGATAGTCAGACCAACGTGGCATGTCCGACGTACGCATCGCTTCTCCCTGGTTGAGCAGCAGAAACTATCGTCCACAAAAAATTGCCTTGAATCGACACCGGCCCTTGCTCGTGGAAGAAAATGCAAATCGCAAGCGGGTTCAAAAGGGCGCCCTTACTTAGCCCCCAGTCTTTTTTTCCAGGTCCCTGGCGCTATCCCCCCGTCTCTTTTTCCCAGAATTTGCTCATAGCTCACAGCCATTGTTATATAGGCATAGCATCCAGTGAGTCATAGTCAGAGTCATATCATAGGCTTAGCCACTTAAGTTATGTTTAGTTTAATTTATGTTAAGCTTAAAGCGTACTTGCTTCAAGTTTTCAGTTTCAAGATTTAAAGTGTAAAGCCCACAGCCTTACGTTGAAGTTAAAGTCCAAGTTGTGATCCTATAGTCTGGTGGCAA